TATTTTTAATGGAATTCAGCGCAGTGCTGAAAAATGCCAGTTATGCAATATGTTGAAAATTATTTACAGTGAACATTTACAAATATATTCAATGCATTTGTACATAACACCATATAAAGAAAGTTATTCAGTTGAATATATATACATACGTATATGTATTTAAGGTTTATAATCTTCAAATGGAATTGGTTTTTTATGATGAGGAAAAAATACATTCTCTGATATCATTCTGATGATAGTGATATTTAATTAAATAATAATAATAATAGCAATAATAATAATAATAATAATAATAATAATAATTAAAAAAAAAATATATTAAAATTTTAATAAATATATTTAGATAGATAATATGATTCTAGATCTTTCATATTTTTTTAAATTATACTTTTCTACATTTAAATAATTTTTTCCCCATATAGCGCCTTTTCAGATTCGATACGTTTTTCAAAGTAATTTCTTTTTCAGAAAATTATTTTGCCTACAGAATCATAAGAAGCCTGGATAGAGACCAAAGTATATCTGATATACCTCACAGTCAACTCTTGCACTCATTAGGGCCTCTCATAACTAGAATATTTAATGAGGCTGCCCAGGCTCTTAGCGGACTCTTAAAACAGCATCAAAATTGAAACCTAACGAATGCATTCATTTTTGTCTGCACGCAGAGCTGTTTTTATTTTCACACATATGACACTCATTAAAGTGTGATTACTTTTATATTGTTATTGTTATGATTATTGCGCTTGTTATTGTTATTGTTATTGTTATTGCCATTGTCAGTGCACAGTTCGTTCAGTGAGTCGTGAATGTGTTTGTTGCAATTATTATTAATATATTTGCGCACATTTTCAATTTGTGTTTTTAATGTCTAATTAAGTGTGCGAAAATAATTTTAATTATGTCGCTGCAGATATATACACAAATATACATGTATATATGTAGATTTATATACAGTTGTTGGCCATGCAAATTGCCTTTAAATTATGGATATATCGAGATTTATATAAATTTATATATATTTCATTTGCTCGTTACATTTATTTTTATTTATATTTTATTGATATTTGGCGCCCCGCTGCTCTTCAGCTGCGTTTTATGCTTGATTGGCATTTAATTGCCTTTCAGCGGACAGCTGTGATTGTTGTCCGCCGCCG